GCCCTGGCCTTGCCCTTGGGCTCGGTCCTCGCCGAGAAGATCAACCGGGGCCGGGAGCTGCTGAAGCGCAGCCGGTCGCGCCGGACGAAGGACGAGGGGCTCTCTGACCTCATGAAGATCGCCATCGACGGGCCGGCCATCAGTGAGTTTGACTTTGCATTGGCCATCGAGTACTACGAAAGCATGAGGGAGTCTGGGTTCATCATGACGCAGGTGAAGTGAGCGTGGCCAGTGAGGGCTGAGCCCTCGGGCAGGAGCCGGGGCCTGCAGGCAGTGCCCAGCACCAGCTCAATGCTGCCTTTCCACATCGCTGGTCACTGCGGGCCGGGCGGCCGCGGTGGATGGTGACCTGCTCCGTGCTGGGAAGAGGAAACAGGATCCTTCACAAAGCCATGCTGGTCCTATGACCACCCCTCCCTCACCCACCAAGCATCTGGCCGAATCGCCCAGAATTCAAAATCCTGAGGCCACCTGAGATCCCAAATTGCAATGATTTTTCTCCAAGGGTTTGTCATTATTTTGTTTTAGGGATAGGAAGGCAAATCTTCTCTTGAGCTCAAATGTCATATTGCCTTTGCACAAAGATACCCAGCAGCTTCTGCTTAATACTCTGCAAAAATAATAGATTTCTGTTGTTCTGGAGCCTCGAGAGCGAATGCAGAAAAGGCAGAACATCCTCCCAGCCCGGAGTCGACCCCGACATGCCTGGCGGTGTCGTGTTGGTGTTCCTTGTGCACAGCACAGAGTATTTTTAGCAGTGGCATCAAGTCATGATCATCTCAAGAGCAAGAGATTTAGGGAATGATATTGTAATGGCCGAGGAAATATAACTTTAAATGCATCATTGTGTACATATGTGTATGTGTGTGTATATATATATAAAAATATATATATATAAATATATGTATTAAAAAGGTCTAACTTAATTTTCCTAGTGCTTAAAGTATAAATATATATAAAGGGACTTTTTTTGCAAGGACAGAATAAATTATGATCGGCGTCCAGAAATAATCAGTAGTGTATTTCTGGTCTTTCCAAAACGTCCACACGTCCCGGCTTTCCCTTTGCACCCTGAGCTCTCAGCAACCTGCTGCCCAAGAGAATGTCCTTCACCACCTGCTTTTGAGACCTTCCAGAGGTGTTCAGCTTGTATTCCTCCTCTGAAGTGTTACTCTCTTTATCCTGAGGTGAGCAGAGCTGTTGGTGCCCATGGTGGGTGGGGGTTTGGGCACCTCTGCCCTTGGGTCTGGGGGTGCTGGCACGGTGGCTGAGTGGGGCTGGGGTGCTGCATGCTGTGTTCCAGCATGACAGGGCTCTGCTGTTTTTGACTTGGAGGGCTGTTTCCTTCAGATCTGACTGATTCTAATCAGCAATAAACCCAATGTAGCAGCCTGAAGCATCACCTCAGTTGAATCCTGAGGGCCGAGTTCTCTGCTGGGGTTGTCAAAAACTGCCCCACCTGCTGCCCCATGATCCGGTTGCTCTGGGAGTCCAGTGTGTTGCAATCTGTTTGTTACTGGTCTGGATCCCAGAGGTGCCTGGGCTGCACTGGTGCTGCTGTCGTGGTCCAATGTTGTGACTGGGTGTTTCTCCTCCATCCCTCAGCCTTTGGCATTGAGGAGCACACGTGCCTCCCAGGAAGCCTCCTGGAAAGAGCTGGAGTGAGTTCAACCCATGCTTGGTCAGAGGCAAAGTTTTAAAGCCCTGGGTAAGGATTTGGAGACACCACCAAACTTTGCTGAGAACACCTCCCTAGCAGGAGGGAGCCAGGCTGCTTCTGTGTGAATAAACAGCTCCGTCTCCATCTGGCCTGGGCAGACTCTGCACCAGATGCTCTCTGAGGCAGCAGCGTCTGCGGAGATGGGTCCTTGGCAGACTTGTGTTTGTATGAGAACCTGCAGCGTTGGCCCTGCTGCCTTCAGAGGCAGCTCTGGGAGGTTCACACGCATGGAGTGTGAGAGCACAACAGTTGCTCTGCTCTGCCTTGCAGGGACCAGGAGAAAACCTGCTGCAGGTGTGTGTTCAGTGGCTGCGTAGAGTGAAGGGTTGGGCAATAGGCTGGGGACTGTGTCCGTGCACGGTCTGGGGGGCTTGGTTAAATGTAAGGCTGAAATACACCTTTAAATTCCAAGGGACCCCTCTGAGAGTCACTTGTCTGCAGGACAGGAACTGGGCTGAGCTCCAGACAGAGGATGTGCAGGATCTGATGGCTCTGGCTGAGCCCCGGGCAGAGGATGTGCAGCACCATAGCAGTGACGCTGTGGGCTTTGGCATCTCTTGGTCAGACCTGGATGCTACCTGTGGAACTGGGGGGGGACACAGAGACCCCCTCCACAGGCTGCAGCAGGTGTTTGTGCTGGGAACATGGGGTTCCCACACTCCCCTCCTTGCATCAGCCCCTTGGAATGCTCCACAGGGCCTGGAGCACATCCCATCCTGGCAGGACCTGTGGTGCTGAAGCAGTAGCATTTGCTGTGGCCGTGGGGGCTCCTCTGCTAAAACAGGGGGAGACACAGAGCCGGTGCTGTGGCAGAGGACACCCCACTCCGGAGCTGCAGACTGAGCGTCTGGGGATGCCATTCACCAGCACAGCCCAGCCCACCACTGGCTGTGCTCGTCACCTTGGGTAAGGTCGTGTCATTCTATACAGACCTGGGGCCCTGCCACTCTCCTCAAAGCAAATCCCTGTAATTGAGTGTCTAATTAATACCTAAAAATACCGCCCTCAGCTGCTGCCGGAATCTGCCCTGCAGCAAAGGTAAGGCAGGACCGGCAGTGCCATGGCCCTGTAACCTTGGGAAGGTGCCCCAGGAGCATCACGTGTGTGCCCCAGTGGAGTGCTATGGCATTCTGGGCAGCTTTGATGGCACTGGGATGGCTTCAGCCCTTTTCCTGCTCCCAAGGGTCTTGTCAGGGGCAAAGCCGGGGGAAAAGGTGCTGACCCTCCAAAGGGTCTCACTGGGATTTCTGGGCTCTCTCCAACCACCTGGTTTATCCCAGCCCAGAAATATGTTTAATCCACAAATCTGAGCTCAAGGATGTGCCAAAGAGGTTGGTGTATCTTGTCTGTACTGTTGTGGGCAGCAGCTGCTGTGGGTGGTGGCTGTCCCTGGGATTCTGTGTCCCCTCAGCATCCCCCCTGTGCCTGCCCAGTGCAGGAGCTGCTCCCTAGGGAGTGAACCCCTCGACTGAGCTGCAACATCCCTTTATGTGGTTACTGATGTTGGGGGAGGAGACAATTGCCTGCCCTCTTGTTCTTCCCAGATATATATATTTACATGTACATATATTTTATGTTTTTAAGGCCGGTGCAGTCAGTGCAAACTGCACTGACAGTGGTGATCAGCACCCCTTGTGATCCAGCCCCAAATGCCTTCACTGCTGCTCTCTCATGGGGCCACTTGTGCTGGGGGGTCCTCGGGCAGCTCCCACGGCGCCGGCTGGGCTGTCTCAGATGATTTGATGCAGAAACACTGTTTCACGCCTCAGAAGGTTAATTATGCACTGCTCACCCAGTCCTGCTCGCTGCTGCTCCCTCCTCATTGCTGCCGCTGCTGTAATGTTATTTATTTATTTTTAAGCAGTTTCACAGATTTCCCTTCTGGGCGACTCTGGAATTAACTCGATCAGTGCACGCCTGATGAAGCAAACTGTAATTCCTCCCTGGAGTCAGGCCTGGCTCGGGGATGGCTCCGGCGCCGTGGCAGAGCCGCCGCGTGCGCTCGCCCAGAAAGAGGTCGTTGGTGCCCGTGGGGCCGGCGGCAAGTGCTCGCTGCTCAAATCCAGGGGATCTCTTGAACTTTGAATTTCAGATTCGTGTCTCAGCTCCTGCACCAGCTGGGATTGGCACAGGGTGGGTGCAGAGCAGAGTAAGGAGCAGCACCAGCCTGGGGTCCTTGTCCTGCACAGCCAGTGTAGGGTGTAGAGGGCTGGAGGAGGGCTCAGGCTCAGCGCTGTCATGAAGAGGTGCTGGTGGTGATGGCTCCCAGTCAGTGTTCCTGCTGTGGGAGCAGCAGATCCCCCCGACACCCTCCCACAAGGAGTGTTCTCTGCTCTGCTGGGACAGTGGGATAGGGTCACGCTGTGCTGTGGTAGGGGCTCCACGATGCCTTTGAGGTGAAGAACCCAAAAATCAAAAAAACAAAGGATGTTGGCCTTGTCCTTGCTGCAGGTGGAGGGACAGGGCTGTGAGTGGGCTGGAGGAGGTGTGAAAATGTGTGGGATGCGAATGGGCTCTTCTGGCTTAACGTTCTGAAACCATTTCTGATTTATTGTGTTTGATTAATTCATTTTTTTTATTTTAGCTTTTCCCCCTCCTCTCTCTCAGAGCTGGGCAGGGACCCCCTCTGCCGCTCAGAGGATGCTTTCCTGTGCTCATCATCTGTGATGAGCCTGACTGGAAACCTGGGATGGGGAGCAACCTGGAGACAGATCCCTCTGCTTGGCCTTCCTTCCTTCCCTCCCTCCCTCCTTTCCTCCGTCCCACGAGTGTTTTCTTTTTAGACAGAGCATTATTAATAACCCCAGGCTATTTTTAAGTCGCACGCCGGAGCGCGTGGTTCGTTTGCGGGTGATGGGGAGCGGCGGCTGCAGCGCAGGAGCGGGGGCAGCTCAGCCTCTGCCCCTGGTCCTTCATCCAGTGCTGGCAGCCAAAACCTCACTGTCCAGGTGAGGAACCCCCATGGTGCTGTCGTGGGGGAGCCCAGGGAAGGGGCTGCTTCCCTGGGGGAGGTTTTGACACCTTTTGGAGGGTTCAGAGCGAGCTCCTGCACGTGTCCATGCTCTGATGTGGAGGCAGCTGCATTCAGCTTCAAACTGGGTTGCTGGTTTTGAACCTGAAAGACAAAGGGGTGCCCAGGGCCACTCTGGGCTGTGACCTTTCACTGAGGATGGTCCATCCACAGCAGATGTCCCCGCGTGCTGTGCCTCAGGTGCATGGTCTCCCTACTGCGAGCAGGGATCACCAGTGCTAATGCTGCTCTTTCCCTTTGCCTACCCAGGTCCCTCCGGACACAGCAGCCCCCTCTTAGCATCACTGCCCATCCCTGGACGGCCCCTTCACCCCCCCTTGGACATCAAGCACTTTCTGACCTTCAGACTCAACGGGACATCACCGCTCAACCTGTTCCCCAACTTCAACACGGTGAGTCCCTGGAGGTGGGTGGGCATTGGCTGTTGGACCCGTCTTCCCCTGCAGCAGTCCCTCCTTTACATGGCACTGCTCCTTGAACCCCACCAGGTAGTTTCTGGTTTAATTCCCAGGGTCTTTGGCTGCTGGACACCAGTTCAACATGCCTGCCCTGCCCTTAGCTCAGAGCGATTCCTGCCCAGCCAGCGCCTGTCGGTACCAGAATTAAAAACGTGGTTCATTTTAACCAAGATCAATTGGATTTTGCCCCTGGAATCAATAGTAATAAAGTAGCTCTGGAGAGCAGTTCATTAGTTGAAAAATAAATAAGGAAAAAGAAAGAAAGAGAGAGAAGGTGTTACAGATATGAGGAGTGTGGCTGGTGCTGTGGGTGTTGGGGAGTCGGGGTGATAGGAGGACTGCTCCCACCCAAATGTTCTATTAGACAGGTAAACCAACAGTGTGTTGGGTGTGCAGTGGTGTTTTCCCCATGCCATGCTGCTTCCCCAGGCTGGTCCCAGTCCTGTGGGGGTCTCCACCCCCTGAGTGCTGCCCAGCCTAGCTGTGAGGCAGATTCTGCTTCAGGAAGGGCAGTGGGCCCCAGGGCTGCTCCTCCTCTCCCCTGCTGAGGCAGGGCTGGCATTTCAGGGTTCAGAAAATGCCCGTGGTTTTCTCTCGTGGTCCTGGAAACGGGACTTTCCTGAGCCCCCTCCATGCTCACCAGCCTTTTGTGAGTGGCATTGAGCTTAAACCTGCTCGGAAGGTGCAAATTATCGCCGAGATCTTCAAAGACAGCGCAGGAATTAAGCACAGGATTCCTGTTGCTGTTGAATGGGATTCAGGCGTCTGAGTCCCTTAAGCTCTTTTGAAGCCCCAGCCCAGCCTCTCCCTGGCTAATGAGCAGGAACACAAACACAGGACAGGAGGGGTTTTGATGCCATTATGGTTCCTGCTCTTTGTCTGGGCTCTTTTTTTAGTCACTGGAGTCAGGAGTGAACTTGACCCAGCGCCTGTTGTTCACTCCCCTCAGCTCCCGCCTGCCGCTGCCTCGGTGGGTGTTTGCCCTGGTTTAGTGCTTTAAAAAAATCAGTAGTTTGGAATAGGAATCTGGTACTTGCTGGGGCCGCACAGTGTCGCACGGCTGCTGTGCTCCGTGGGGGCTCCTGCCGTGGAGGATGGGTTGGACATGGATGGAGATGCCAGGGGAGGCTGTCACGGCTGTTCAGGCACCTGGAGTGAAGCACTCTGAGCTCAGACCTGAACCTGGCGTGTGCTGTTGGCTGAGCAGTGCCAGGGCTGATGGTCTGGAACACTTTGCACTTGGAGCAGGTCACGGGGCTCCCATGAACCCAGCAGATGTTTTACTCTGAAGCGAGCAAAACCCTTCCAAGCTGCCTGCTGCCACTCAGAGCAACAACCAGGAATAAAAACTCCTAACACAGCACAGGAGGCACGTTCTGTGCTCCAAAGGCCCTTCCCTGCTCTTGAGATGTTGCAAATCCCCAGGACCTAGCAGCGCCTCGTAAAACTCCGTCAGGAGACACGATCTGAACGGATGCTGCATCCCTGTGAATTCCCAATCCTGACCTCAGGGGCCACAGGGAGCTCAACACAGGGATCGCTATTTATATCGACAGGAACATCCAGGGATAAATAAAGTAATGTGAGTCAATACAAATTGACTATAAAGCTGGGATCTTTATTCCCCAAGAGTGTGGTGCCCAGAGCCAACCTCTGTTGCCGGCTCCGTTCTGCTGGAAACCACTGGGAAGCTCCTCAGCCTCCGGCTGCGGGTGCCGGTACGTACGGCGGTGGCACAGCCCCCACTGGCCCCGTGGGAGCTGTGGGGGCTTTTCTGTATCCGAGGTAGCTGTGAGGATGTGGTTGAGACCAGGACAGTCTCTGGCTGCATTTGTGTTCTTGTGCCAGCATCTTTCCTCTGCATCCTCCTTTGATCCCTGTTCTGCTCCTGCTGTGGTGCTTGGGGCGTGGATGAGCCCACAGGAGCTCCTTGGGAGCCAGTGGTGATTGATGGGATGTGGTGATACTCAGTGGGAGCAACTGGTTGGAACCTGGTAGCTGACATTGCTGGGAAGGTTGGAGCCATTTTTCATTTCTGAAAGAAGAGGTGGGTGTTTCTCTGGAAAACAAGCGCCAGTCCCACAGCCCATCAGTGTGGGGATGCTGCCAGCAGCATGTTGCAATGTTTGTCGTCAGGCATGGAGCAGCATCTTGGCCATCTGTAGCTTCCTCTGGGTCTTTGCTGAACCCCAAATGCCTCTTCATTTATATGCCAGATAAGTGAGTAAAATTTCATAGCAAACAGGCACTTCATTAATCACCTGCTTTTACCATTCTGCTCACTCCTGGAAAGGAATTTGGGGTCTTGATAATGGCGCTGTTGTCCAGGCATGTGCCTCGAAGACTGATGCACCTGTCTCGGCAGCGAAATAGCTTTGCAGAGAAATACGATCGCTGAAAACCCCGGGCTCTCCTGACAGCAGGACTCAGATAAGATAATCTCCCTGTGCCACAGGGTAGGGAACAATAGTTGCATTATAGATTAGAGCCACGCTCAGACAAAGAAGTTATTCTTATGTTTTCTCCCTTAATAAATGCATTTTGTTTAAAACAATTATGGCTTTTGGAACCACTTTGGTGCCTGGGCTATGGAATGAGGCTGAGCCCTGGGGTGAGACAGAAGGGCTGGGGGCTGACAGTGGCCACATGCTCAGCCCCACTGTGGCCCCAGGCAGGCTGGACGATGGACAGTGCTCCTGGCAGGTCACCAAAGCAGGTCTGTGTGTACCCAGCCCAGTGAGTGAGTTGTCATCATTGGGTTTGAGCAGGTGCAGTACCCCAGAGCAGTGGGGCAGCCCAGAGGGGCTTTCACAGGCACTGTGCCTCGGGCGAGCTGTGTCCATGGCTGTGGGCACTGGTGTCAAACAGTAATTTGCCATCTGTGACACCAGTGTCTGAGGGTGGGGAGGGACAGGGGACATGGAGACACATTGGGACAGACAGGGTCTCATCACCTCTGCCAGACCACAGCTGACGTTCAGACCCTGCGAGTTTGGTGGATATAAGGATGGTTTAAACAGGGCAGGAGCCAGTGTTGACACACTGCCTCAGCAGCCACAGCCCCTCGCTCCCACTGTGAGCTCTGTGGTGTTGGCAGTGACTCCTCGGGAGCGTGGCAGGCGTGGGGGTCACCGGGCCGTGGTGCCACGCCAGGGCAGCCATCAGGATGTGGCACCAAGCCACCCTCTGCCCTCCCTCCCCTTCCAGATGGACCCGGTGCAGAAGGCAGTGATCAGCCACACCTTTGGAGTGCCAGCCCCACTCAAGAAGAAGCAGTTCATATCCTGCAACATCTGCCACCTACGCTTCAACTCTGCGGTAAGCGGGGCCAGAGGTGGGGCTGGGGTGAGTGGGGCACATGGGGCCAACACTGGAGCAGGGGCATCCCAAGATGATGGGCCATACTACTCATCCACCAAAGCTGCCAGTGCTTGGTGTCAGGCAGCATGGGGGCTGTGGAGACTGTGGGAGCTGCTCTTGCCTCCCCGAGCCCTGTGCCCTGGCCAGTCTCTGCCACCCGTGGAGGAGCTGTCCCAGCCTGGCCATGCTGCATCCACAGCACCTGGGGCTGGTGCTGCTCTGCTACCGAAACTTAGCAGTTCTGGGCTTCACGATTCCTCTCCGCAGCCAGGGGGCTTGGGGAAAAGCATTGCTTCCCTGTTCCAGGCTTCATCCCAGCTGGTAGTGCTGTGCCAGGAGAGTTGGTCCCACCACATGCTCCCAGTGCTCCCGTGAGCACCCCATGTCCCTGTCCCCGCTCTGCCCGTCCCTGCCTGTGTCCCCCCCGGGGGGGGGAGTGTGTGCTGGCACAGACCCTCACAGCCTGCGGGTGTTCCGGCGCAGCGGCGGTGACCTACTTCGGCTGCACCCAGTCCCATTCCAGCCCTGATATCCAGGGGGAGTTTATTGTCTTTGCTAATGAGGCACCACGCTCCGACGGGCCCTTTGCTTTCCCACATACTGGCCGTCGGCCCTGACCACTGTTCCCAGCCCTTGGAAAGCCACGGGGGGAGGGAAGGGAAGGGATGGGATGCTTCCCCCTGCCAAGCCCTGGAAGCCTCAGCTGGCCCTCCGGATCATTGTGCAAATTAATCTGTGCTGCTCAGGGGTACAGTGTCTAATTCATACTGGGGTTCCTTTCCGTAAATTGCCGAGCTGGAGTTGTTTTGGGGGACAATACAGCATTGTCCCCACTGGGAGGACACCAATGCTCGGAGGATTTTCTTTTGTGGCTGTTTTTATCAGCTCGGTGCAGACATGAACCCGTCAGAGTCTCACTTCATTATCCAGTGTTTGCTGGGAGAGAGGAGCCGGGGGACGTGAACCATGTGTTGGACAACCCTTAGGATACAGTGGGAGACATGTCGTCCCCACTGATGAACCTCTTTATTTCATTTTTACAGCAACAATTCATTCTACATTTCTGGAGTCATAAATTTTGCCTGAAAGCTGCTTTTAGGAGTGACTTGATGCATTTAATCAGAGCAGGGTCCTTATCTCAGCCGTGCAACATGGTGATGTCTTAGAGAGTGACACCTCAGCCCCAATATGTCGCTGTCAGAGCAGGCTGGGGAGAGGAGAGATGTGGCTCTGTGTTACACCCCATTGCCAACACCCCCTCTGTGTTACAGCCCACTGCCAGCACCCCCTCTGTATTACACCCCCCTACCAGCACCCCCCCGTGTTATACCCTGCTCCCAACAGCCCCTCTGGAGTAGTCGTGGCCCTGGGGGTGGATGTCACCAGAGGATGTGGCTGTACTGGAAATGTGCCTGAGCAGCCACATCCCAGGGCTGGCCTCGTAACGTGCCCTCTCTGTGCCCATCCTTCTGTCTGGCGGCTGCACCAACATGGTCATCCCGGTCTTTTGCCCCTAGAACCAGGCAGAAGCCCACTACAAGGGGCACAAGCACGCGCGGAGGCTGAAGGCCATCGAGGCCATGAAGAACAAGCAGAAGGTGGTGGGGGCTGCAGCGGGGACCCCCGGCCAGGACAGTGCAGCTGACCTGTCCCCCATCCCCGAGGGCAGTGGGGAGCCCGGCAGCACAGGTACAGGAAGGGGGGAACGGGGCTGGGGAGGCTGCAATCAGCACGGCAGAGATGCCACTGCCAGCGTTCATAAATGAGCTTCTGTGCTCTGCCCGTGTGACAGGCTGAGCACAGGAACCTGAGCTGTGTCCTGGGGGGAGCCTGGCCCTGGGCATCCCTGTGGCTGTGGGGGGATGGCCGGTGTTTTCCCTGTGGTTTGGTGTCTCCGGGAGGTGTTTTGTATGGATGTGGGAGAGGAAGCGATCTCTGCCTCACACATCCCCAGGGCTCTGCCACATGCAGGGACAGCCCTGGTAGGAGCATGGACACGTGCAGACAGTGCCCGAGATGGTTTCAAGGAGAATGGCAGGTGCTCCCTGAAATCCAGAAAACCTGTTCAGGCACAGAGAACTTTCTACCCATTTCTTTCTCTTTCCCATTTCCCCCTTTCCTTCCCTACCCTGCAGCTGATGCCAGCAGCCCGCAGGAGCCAGAGGGTGAGGGCAGCAGCCTGGGGCTGGTGCCCAGCGCTGAGGAATCACCCACGGATCTGCAGGGCAGCCTTGCCCCACTGGGCTCCCCACCGGCCTCTGAGCTCTCGGAGGGCACCTCTGATGCCACCAGCGTGGCCTCCTCGTCCGCCCAGGCAGCCGAGGCACAGGCTGCTGAGTCGGGCGGCAGCGTCAGCTCAGCCCCTGAGAGCGAGAAGGAGGGGAAGAAGAGCAAACAGCACCTGTACTGTCCCACCTGCAAAGTGACTGTCAACTCCCTATCCCAGCTGGAGGCTCACAACACCGGTAAGGGCATCACTGCAGGGACAGGGGGGTGGGCTGCTCTGCTGTTGGGGTTTAAAGCAAAATCATGCCCCATCACCAAATGGCCTCGTGGGGAAGCAACAAGCTTTAATGAGTGTTGCTGTAATTAAAAAGGGTTCGTTAAGGTGGCCTTCACAGATAAGCTGTGGGGCTTTACCTGGGCTGCAGCTTCTGTGGTGAATTTTCTCGAGGTCGAATGCTCTTATTGTTCATGTCTCAATTAAGGACATTTCCAGCTACATTTAATCAAGTGATTGAGGCAACTTTATATTCCATTTGGCTTGAAGCTGATAGCCAGGGCCTCTTCCAGACCCAGGATAATCCTTCCCAAAGCAGCTTGGTGGTCTGGGCTCATCGTAGAGAAGTGCCTTGGGAATCCAACAAGCTTTGGAGCCCCACGGCCAGTGAAGGCACCTGGGCTGTACAGGGCAGCCCCTCAGGGAGGTCACAGGTGGGGGGTGCTGAGGGTCCCCCTCAAACCTGGGGGTGGCCAGACACCCACCCCTGGGGGGGTGGTGGGTGTGGCAGCCACAGTACAGGGGCACCCAGCAGGGTCTGTGGGCCCTGCAGTGTCAGATCCTGACTCGTCCCTTGCTCTGGAGGATGCTAAAACGGAATGGGCATCTCAGTTTTAAATGGATGGTCCTTCTCTCCCCCAGTTCAGCAAGAATGGGAACCAGTTCTCCCATCGCAACTGCCCACTGGGGTGGCAGCAGCCGCCGTGTGCAGGGTTGGCTCAGGACACCGCTGCGGCTTAGCTGCAGACATGTCCTTTTGCTTTTGTCAGCTCCAGTTACGAATTTAGGAGCTGATTTGGGGAAAAAGAACAAACAAACAAACAAACAAACGTTTGCAGGCTGGCGCTGCTCTGCGGCCGTCACACGGCTCCTTGCTTCACGCCTTAAAAAATAGAATGAATTAGCAGGGGCTTAAATTACTTGCCCCCGATGCGCCCCCGCCGTCCTGGCACTGGCAGGGGTAGGACAGAGCGCCCTGTCCCCAGGTGTGCGGGGATTTCGGGTTCCTCCTTCCTCGCCTGCTGTGACCCAGCTGAGCTATTCCTGGCTCCGCAGCGGCTCCGCTCTGACCTTGGGCACGGCTCAGATGCTGCAGCACGGCGGGCGACGAGTGCCCGGCCCTGCAGACTGTGCTAACGCCCGGGGACAGGCGACAGGCTCCAGCACACGCTCAAAACAGTAGCTTCTGTGAAGGTCTGGCACATGTGGGGGGGGGGTCTCTGGAAAGCTGAGCATCTCTGGTCTGCCTGTGACAGGAGGTATGGCAGGGTTTGGGAATGGGCTGCACAGTGCCGGCAAGAGTCCGGGCTCCCAGGCAGCTCCCTGTCCCCCTCTGCCTGCAAGTGCTGCCAGGCACAGGCTGGTGTGGGTTTCCTGGTGCTGTCGGAGGGCACCGTCCCTGCTGCCACAGCACAGGGCTGGGTTTGCTGAGTGTCCCTTCTCACCAGGCGCCAAGCACAAGTCGATGCTGGAAGGTCACGGCACCCAGCTGCGGCGAGGCCGGGGCAAGCTGCTCTCCCGGGCAGGGCACAAGTCCAAGCGGATCGGGAACAAGGGCAGCATCAACATCCAGAACAAGGCGTTTCACTGCCAAGTGTGCGAGATCTACGTGAACTCGGAGACTCAGCTCAAGCAGGTGATGATGCCCTGGGAGTGCAGGGGGACAGGGTGTGGGTGGGCAGGGGCTTGGGGCAGGTACCTGATGGTCCCTGAAGGGTGAGGAGCATCTCCCGCAGACCCAAACTGCGCAGTGCCATGGGTCTCCCCTCACTGTCCTGGCTCCCAGTGATCCAGTTGTTTTCCTTCCCAGCACATGAGCAGCCGGCGACACAAAGACAGACTGGCGGGGAAGCCGCCCAAGCCTAAGTACAGCCCCTACAACAAGCTGCAGAAGAACGCTGCCCTCGCAGTGAGTATTCTCAAGGTACCTGTCTCCCTGCACAGCACCCTCGCTCGCCATCAGCCATCCCTGCAGTGAGTCACAGGAGCTGCTTCTCTTAAATCTCAGTTCACATCACCACACCTCAGCTGCTCCCCTCCCAGAAGGTGGGCTGTGGTGGGGGGGGTGGATTCAAGTCTTTATTCCTGGGGAGGCCAGAATAGGGATAACTTGGGAGTGCTTTGGAAGCAGCATTCGCAATGGCAGCACCTGTGATTCCTCCACCTGTTTCACGATCTCATGGAGTCTCCTCCTCCCTCCCTGCAGTCCAAGCTGGCTTTGCAGAAGCACCTCACCAAAACCCTGGCGACCCGCTTCCTGCCGAGCCCGCTCACCGCCGCTGCCGTCTGCGCCATGCCCGGCCCCCTCGCCCTGCGACCAGCCACTGCCACCACCCTCTTCCAAGCCCCGATCCTCGGACCAGCCCTTTTCCGAACGCCGCCGGCCCACGTCCGCACCACGCCGGGCCCCATCGTCTTCGCACCCTACTAGAGCTGCTGGCCCGCCGAGGGTCCTGTGCTGCGGGGGCTGCGTGAGGCAGGGCAGCGCTCCCGCTACCTGCTCTCCTGGCTGGTGGGAAACCGTAGTCATAGACATCAAACCCAGATTCTCCTTTGCTTGGAGCAGGCTCCTGCTGGAGCGAGGTGCCCCGGCAGAGCCTGGCCAGCCCTGCCACGCATCCCCACCGCTCCCCCGGCCTGCGCCGGCCCCGCTTGGCAGAGCAGCCCGTCACGGCTGGGCAGTGCACAGGAGAGGACGGTGCCTGAGTCAGCAGGATCGTCTCATGGCCATGGCCTGCCTGTCCTTGGCCTGCTGGCTGCTTCTTCATCACCCTCTCAGTTACCAGACTGGAAGGAGAGGAGCTGGCTGGTCCCTGGGAGAAGGAGCATCCTTCTGGTCCCTGCCAGCCCAATGGGAAGGGAACTGTGAGGGAAGTCTCAGCCCAGCTCTTACTGGGAGAGTAGGAGCACAGGTGGGAAGCTGGCAGTTCCCCTCTCAGCCTGGGCTGGCTGTGCCCTCACCAGCCCCACAGTTGCCTGTGCTGGCTGGGGGTTTCTGTGCCACCCACCAGCCCCTCAGTTCCCACGTCTCCCTACATCCCACCAGCCAAAGAGCCCCAGCGGCAGCAGGCACCAGCCACACTGACCGTATCCTCACTCCAAGAGCAATAGCTGACCCCAGGGCCAGTGCCTCCCCCCTCCAAAGCACACGGGCCCTGCCCTGGCCCCAGAAGCACACAACGGGCATATGGCTGAGCCAGGCCCCCTCCCGCCCGGCGAGGCTGGGAGCGCCAGGCTGCCCGGTGCTGGGTCTCCGAGGAGGTGACCCTGTGCTTGGCACCTCTCCTTGCCTCTGTCCCACCGCAGGGACATCCCTGCCCCTACCTCCCGGGAGATGCTGTGAGGCTGAGTGAATGTCCCTAAAGCACTTTCGGTTCTCCAGTGAAAGGCAACGCTGCTGCTCGCCCGCTGTGCCCGCCCTCCAACCCCATACCCATTAGGAGCTTCCAGGGAGTTACTGATGATTCCCAAAAACAAAGGTGTCCCCAGCAGCCTGGACAATCAGGTACGAAGGAGCAGGTGGCACCTGCAGCCTGCAGAATGCTGGGCTCCAGAGGGACCCCGAGGCTGTAGCTCTGCATTTCACTGTGCTCAGACAGCCCAGCCATGACCTGGTCTGGGACTGTGCCCGCGGCACTCCGGGTGCCCAGTGCGCTGCTGTACATGGAGACACGCAGGAGAGCTGCATCCCGAACGGACCTTTCGCTGGAGGAACACCCCACCCCGATCTATGCAATCCAGGGGGGCAGCTCGCCCGCCGCGTTAGCCACCTGCGTTTCCCTTTGGTGCTGATGTGTCCGTACAGTCGGGAGCAGCGGTGGGAGCAGAAGAACCAACGTAACACTGAGCTCTGTCCCGTCCTCAGCCCAAGATGCTGGCTCAGACCTCTGCCACAGCCCACGTTCCCTCTCAGCCCTCGGGAGGAGGCAGGTTGGTGTGTGCACCTGGGAATCCACACGCACAAGCACACATATCCGACGTCTTGGCCATAGGCAGCACCTGGATTTGAGGAGGATTTTGCCCAGTGTGCTCTGCTGATGCTCAGGATGGGTCCTGGCATGGGGAGCTGAACAGGAACCGGCCAATGAGCCACTCTGACGGCTGAAACACTTCTGCTTCCCAGGGCTGGAGCTTCAGCGAGGGCAAGGAAAGCCGCCCAGAGGGAGCAGGGCACAGGGAGCCACACACCCTGCAGGGCCTGTGGGCAGCACTGACCATGGAGCCACCGCTGTGCTCCTGCCCCAGAGACAGGAGAGTGATGGAGCCCCTGGGAATGGATTCACCTGCCCAGGGCATCTCGGCCTCAGGGAAGGAGAAGAGTGGAGACAGGACACTGGGAGAAGAGTGAGTGGCCGTGAGTAGAGACAACGGAAAGGTCTTGCAGTGGTGATGGGAGACGCGGCTCGGAGCGCAGCTGAGGGAAGGGAGGCTCTGCCAGGGACAGGGAGATGGTCCCACAGCCCAGGGCACACGTGGGGATCCTGAGTCCCAGGGGACAGGAGCCTGCGCTGGTGGGGCCCCCAGCGGCAGGAGGGACGTGACCCCGGTCCCCTGTGCCACAGTGCCAACCAGCCCATGGCCAGCACGGCTCCAACCACCCCCGCCCAGCTCACTGTGCCCTTCCCAGGCCCTCAGGGTCACCCCCAGCCCGGCGGCGGCAGAAGAACAGGTCCTGTCCTGCTCCGTGTCCCTCCTGTGCCGTGCCCAGTGCCTCAGGAGCACAGGGAGCCAGGAGCAGCCAGGCTCCGGCCTCCAGAGCCGCGTGGCACCGCTGGGCCTGTTCCCCTCCAGTTTGTTCCAAAAAGCCTGTGCTGGAGCTGCGGCTGCTCCGTCACCCCTCACCAGTGGAGTCCTGAGACACTCCTGTACTTGGCACTTTAACCCTGAGAAAGCCATTCCTTCTAGTAACAATAATACTGCAACGAGCTGCGTAAGAACCCCCCGTTACAGCATCCCCCCTGCCAAATCCCCCTCCTGCTCTCCAAAGCATTTACTGCCTTTGACTTAGCACATGCTGTACTAGGAGTAGGGATAGTCCATAGCGCTCAGTAACATGTGCCCCTCTGTAAATAACCTTGGAGTGATGTGAAGTTTGATTTAAAACAAAAAACAAAAAAAAAAAAACAACCAAACCCCAAATGGAATCTCCAGACTCTAGGGACTTGGCCAGTACCCTCCTGTAATGTTCATTGTATATTTTTTTGATGTACTATAACTGTTGGGAAAAAAAAAAAAAAGGAAAATATTTTGATAATCAAATCTCATCGCTTTATTGTGTTACTCAGTAAATAAAAGGAACAAATATAAACAGGCCAGGTCTTTTTGTCATCTCTTTTCCTACATCCAGACTACCTAAAGGGAACTGGTGTTGCTGGACAGAACTGGGACACCTGTGCCTTGGTTTTATGGTAGTTCTGAGAGGAGGCAGCACCGTGATAGGTGGGCAGGGAGAGCTGCTGCAGCCTGAAGCATCTGGGTGTGCAGGGTAAGCAGAGTCCCAGCCCCTCCAGGGATCCAGGTGTGCAGGGTAAGCACAGTCCCAGTTGCTCCAAGGTCATGGCTGAGTCTGCACCCAGGAAGAGCAGGGCTGGATTGGTGGATTTGGGCATCCTGCCCTCAGGAACAGCACCTGCCCTACCCTAGGCATTCCCTGGGGCAGGATGCCTGGATATTCCTGTGCATAAAGGAGCAGTGGGCACTGCCAGCTAAGGAGCTGCAGTGCAGAGCCAGCTGGGGCAGGTCCGGGAGAGCTGCTTGTCTGGATGCAGGGCCAGCAAAAGGGCTCTTCTCACATGGTATCAGGAAATAGAAAAGAGAGAGGGAGTTCTTCCCTCCAGCCCAGCTGCAGAGCTGGCCAGCCTGTGCCTCTGCTGCCCCCTCCCAGCCTGCACCCGAGAGCAGAGGGGTCACTGGGTGAACACCGGCCTTCCTGCAGCACCTCTGACAGTGCAGAGGCCAAGCAGGGAGAAGGGTGGTCCCTGGCCCACCGCCTCTCTCATCCTCAAGGACCATTCCCAGCCCTGGGACGACTGTTCCTCCTGCCACCTGCTTCCCACAGGCTCCGTGACACCAGACAGGCTCAGCAGGAGGGGTGTGTGCAAGGGAAGCAGGGAGGTGAGGAAGAGGAGGTGGCAATGGAAGGGAAGGGGAAGAAGGCTCAGCCATCCATGGATCCGCTGCCCTTGTTCTTGCGGCTCAGGGGGAACGCAGACTTGCTCTGTGGCTGTGTCATCTTGCTGGCCAGGTAGATGAAGGGCTCAATCAGCGAGCGCCGGTCGGCCACCGAAACCTCCCACAGCTTCACCTTCTCGCCCTTGGCCCAGTGCTGGGCTGCCTCATGGTCCACCCGGCGCTGCTCCTGCAGGTCACACTTGTTGCCCAAAACCACGATGGTGACCTGTTCCAAAAGGGCGAGAAGGGCCTCTGAAGGTAACAATGGCAGCACTGCAGGGCTGCCTGGCTCTGCCTGGACACCCTTGGGGCTGGACCCAGCTCTGCCACCAATCTCCCCTCCATGTCGAGACCTTTTGAGACCCCCCGGTCCCAGTGCTCCCTTGCCCTCCTCTTGTGGTCTGTGTGTCTCAAAGCAGCTCCGAAGTGGAACGGGCTGTCGAGCACCTGTAGCCTCAGAGAGCATCCCAGGACAGAGCCCATGACAGCTGAGTCTCACAGACCAGGGACCCATAACCATCTTGCGACAAGCTGAAGCAAAGGTGAGAACCTGCCAAGGGGAGCAGACCCCACTCTGCAGCCCCTGCCCCCAGGGGACTCACCTCCTTCTTGTCCTTGGACTTGTCGATCTCCTTCTTGAGCAGCTCCACGCGCTTGAAGGACTCCTTGCTGTCGGTGCTGTAGACCAGCACGTAGCCGTCGGTGCAGGAGAAGCAGTGCTTGGGCAGCTCCAGCCCGTCCCGCAGCCCCCGCGTGTCGTAGAAGCGAACCTGCTCCCGCACCCCGCGGTCCGTCTCGATGGAGCCCACGTAAATGTCCTCCTGGGTCTCGATCATCTCCGAGCCTGGAGGGGGTGGGCAGGGGACACGTGGGGACCCTGCCGGGGGTCTGGCCCCGGCACAGCCCGGGGAGATGCCCCGCCGGGCGGCTGTGCCCTCCCGCACCTCCCGTGTTTAGGGGCGAACAGGGACAGCCCTGCCCAGCGCCGGCCCCGCCCGCGGCACACGGGGCCGCCGCCTCGCCGGGGAGCAGCGGGACAACCCCGCACTCACCGACCACATGGTTGCCGTAGAGCAGCTGCTCGAGGATGGAGGTTTTGCCGACCGAGGCCTGCCCGCACACCACCACCTTGCAGCTCTTGCCCATCCCGCCTCACCGGCCCCGCGGGCGGGCGCGGCCGGGGCTCAGGGGCGGCGCCGCAGCGCCCCCCAGCGGGCGGGCGGACCGCGGGGGCCCTGCTGCAGGGAGGGGCGTGGCGCTGACAAACCCCCCCCCGTGCCAGTGGCGCCCGCGGGCCCGCGTGCGGGCGCCCCCTGGCGGGCGAGTCGCCTCCGCCCCGCCCCCGGCGTAGCCCCGCCCGTTCCGGCGCTGGCCCCGCCCAGCCCCGCGCGGTAAGATGGCGGCGGCGGCGGCCGAGCCCGAGTGCGATGTGGTCATGGCGGCGCCCGACGGGCCCGGCGAGGCCGACAGCGACGAGGAGACGCGCAGGTACAGCGGCGGCCCCGGAGCCGGCCGGGCGGGGAGCGGGCGGCCGGTGATGCTCTCGGCGGGCGGGCCGCGGCTGGGAACGCCGCAGGGCCCGGGGGCCGCGGCGCGGGGTGGCCGCAGGTGCTCGGCCGGGATGGGAGCGCTCCCCGGGGCTCTGGTACCGTCGTGACAACCGTGGGCCGCACGCGGCGGGGCCCGGGAGCCGCTGGGGCTGGGACGCGGTGCCCGTGTGTTGCCGGTGAGCTCCCGCGGCCTCCGTGTGCACCGGCATTCGAGCATCCGCCCGGCCCCGGCCCGTGTGTCCCGGCAGGA